AGTATTTGCTCCTGCACAGTCAAATTTTCTTTTTCTTCACTTCAAAGTCCTCCTTTCCAACACCACAAATCCTAACTCTACTTTACAACTTACAAATGAAAGCTAAAATACAGTTACAACTAAAATTACACAAATGTTTACAAACTAAATAAAGCGGTAAAAAAATCCACACAAATCTAACATAAAAACATACATTTATGCACTACAAATTAGTGCATATCAATACCATGGTATAATTTGTTGATACTGATGAATTATATATTCCTTTAAAATCCAAGTTGGGGACAGTCTGGAGTCTGGACACCCCTAAATTTAATTCTGAAATGGTGACTGCACATAAAATTGGACTAATCGGACCGTTGCATGTTGTGAAAGGCCTTTGGAGTTTGGCCCTGGCCATGAAGGGGAAATCCTAATTTGTTCCAGACCAAACTTGAGTAATTATAGAAATACAAAAAAATCAAATCAGATTAATTCAGACAGATCAGATCAGACCAGACCGGTCCAAGTAAAAACCTCCTTAGCAAGGGGAAGGGCGATTTAATTTAGGAAATTTTTACGGTGCCTTTACATTGGGGAATGTTTCGTTACATCAGCCATGCGGCTGATCCGTATTGGTAAAGTCTTCCTAGTCACGTTTAAGTTGCTTAGAATCGTAAAATCAGTCCAATTCCTCTCCAAAATTGCATACAAGTCCTCCCAACCAAACCCAAGCAAGCGCAAAACGTCATCGTTCAGAGATCGTTTGCTGGAGGAAATTTCCCACGCAAGGAGCCGCGGATCGTCTTCTTCCATTCACCACCCTTCTCTCTGCGACACCGTCCCTGAAAAGTGCAGTGCCGTAAAAAGAGCGTAGAGCCCCAATCGACTGCTAAACGTAAAGCATACATTCAGCCTGAATTGCGGTTATCTTTCAGTCGTTTAGTGTAAGCTTTCTCTTTCTCCTTCAATTTCAAGCTTGACTATATACATAACTATTTGTTCATCTTATTTGTGGCTTTAATTTGTTCATCCTAACTTGTTGTTAAGATTATGATTTGGTTTATTTTCCCATTTGATGGGGTCAGATTTTCTTTGACTGATTGAGAATTTGATGATGAACTAATTTATTGTCCATACAAAAAATGTGACTGTTAGTGGAAGACTTAGATAAGTGTTAGCAGGAATCATAAAATGTTAGTGGGGTCATTCTTCTTTTCGTCAAAAAAAATTCTTTTCTTCAATAAGAATGGGGGCTATAGAAACTGGGGATTAAAGTGTGCATTAGGTTAACCTCAAAAATACTGATTAATCTTCACAAAACCTACCCGGATGCATATTTTAAACTTATAGTTTGATGCATAATGATATAAATCTAAGTATAATCTTTCATAAATAATGAAGTGCTAATCAGAGGTTTGGGGCATGACATTGTGCATCTTTAGACTGGCTTTTTATGGTCTAGCTTCTCATATATCAATCGTTGCAGCTCTCTAATTTCTTCTTACAAATCATAACTTTTTCATGCCTCAAATTTGTGTGACAGAGGGATTGATGTTTTCTTGTTGCTTATGTAGTTATGTCTTTTGACTTAGGTAACCTTAGTCTTTTTTTATATGTCCCTTTAAGAAGTGATAAAATTACAGATTGAGATACCAACCATTAGTTTATAAGTTCATATTTCAGTGCTAAAACTCATATGCATATCTTAAACTCACAACTTGAGATTCCAATATTCTGTCCTCTAATCCATTGGTGCTCCATGTTAGTCTAAAACCAGGAAGATGCTAAAGTTACTAATTCAAAGTTTACTGATTTATTAAAGAATACAAGTTTAAAATTTGAAGTCACTGAATTTCATGTTTTAATGTGTCATGGTCTGCTACATATATAGTTTCAATGGAAAAAGTTACAATGTATCAAACTATTATTTAAGACTATATAAAGGCTTCTAGGTTTAAGACATTAAGACTATCAAACCAATCACAAATTAAGGCTTGCAGCTGGCTAGTTAAAATCGGGACTCTTTAGAATGGTAAGAGGTGTTGGTGGATCCATCCAGGGGGAGAGTTTAATATCCTGGCTTCTTGAATTGAAACAAGATGTGGTGGATGATGTAAGTGCCACTTGGTTTCTTCAGGACCTTTCTGATTAGCAAGATGTGGAGGGAGTTACTATATGTAATTCCTTATTTCTTTTCCTACTTTAATTCTTAATTATTGTTATGTTTCCGGTTTTTTCCTTGTGTGTGAATCTGTGTTCTGCTATGCAATATTGATTCTCACTTTATTAAAGAAGATATAACAGGACAAAGAAGCCCAAGAGTTTTTACTTTTCAATATAAATTAATAGAAATGTTTTTTCTAATTAACTTAACTGCAAAATAAGAATTTAAAAAGCCACATTAGTGATTTTGTGAGTGTAAGGACTTATTTGTCAATTATCAGGTTCCCCGTAATTTTATTTTAATATCGCAATGAATAAAAAGAATCCTATCTGAGGTTTAGAGACTCAGTTGTATGAAGTTGACTATCTTAAATAAATGGTTGTGGAGTTCATATATTTTTGGGACGGTCCAAAATAAACTTCACACTTCCTTATTTCCTTATTTGGCAAAGAAATCTACATCAAAACAGTGTTAAACAGTGCCAAACAGTGTCTCAACAGTGCCAAACAGTGCCAAACAGTGTCTCAACAGTGTATTCTACAGTAAAGTCAACTTTATTTTCTTAATAACTGTGAAGTCAAACACTGAAGTTTAAAAAGAACCGGAGGGAGTACATTTTTTTCAGCATCTTCTAGCAGCTACACTAGTTTTATGAATTGTTAATACATTTTACTTCTGATTTTAATGAAAAGTCATGAGATATTCACTTCTTGATTGCACATGGAGGTAATTGAGAAGTTGAAATTGTTTGAGGTTCTTGGACTGCGCGTTATTTCTACAGTTGTTCATCAAATGGTATGCACATCTCAGTTGCAAAAACAAAACAGACAAGTGAATCTATTCACTTGATCTGTCTGCGGTAAGGGCAAGTGTGACTGTGTGACTACAGTGTGATTCTTATATCACATAAACTTATTTGTTATTGTATTATTAAATACTTCAGGATGTTGGTCTTGGTTCAAAAGGTGTATAAAGTATTTGTTACTGATATATGTTATAGGTTAGCTACTGATATATCAAACAAAGCTTGTTATTTGTTATTTGTTACGTATATGTTAGCTACTGAAATTTTATTTATTTTACTAATGTTTCAGGTGGTATATGTGGCAAACACAAATAACCAAAAAACGGAGATAGAATAGGCATTAGTTGATAAAGACAAATAAAACTTCTTCTTGGGTCAAATGTGCAGAGGGGTTTAATTGTTCACATTTTTTGCACACTTTTGACATATCGATGTGGGTTGAGAAGATCATCTGATTTATGTGCTATATAATGTAAGAGATAAGCACTGAATCTTGTTATTGCATGTCTTTTATGATTTGATACATTAATAGACTCGAATGAGAAAAAGTTCAATATTGGAGTATTTGATCTCTTTTCTCAGCTGATAGTTTTAGTGATAAAATTTTCATTGTTCTTAATTCTAAACTAAAGAAAGGCGTGTTAAAGACGTGTTGCAAAGTTATTACAACTTATATTCAAAAATCTCAACGATAGCCCGCAACGAGTCTGACTCGACATCCATCAAATCCGAACCTTGCTCTTTCAGCCAGCTAAGGGCCTCACAGATGCCAATTAATTCTGCCTCAATCGGAGAGCAGCCCCCCGTCCATGGCCTTGCACCTCTGGCCTTGAACTCCCCTTGTTCATCCCTAATAACCCATCCCAGACCGCACCTTGCTGCTGCTACAGATGCATCAACATTAAGTTTGATCCTGCCGGCTAAGGGGCGCTGCCAAACTGAAGAATATGTGAAGTTTTAACACTTCAAAATGAACTATAAGTACAGCTTATGTGAACAATATAAGTATAGATATGAACTCTCTTTGCTCATGAAGTACAACTTCTCTTTCAACACGTTCAACATCAACTACATGTGATGGGTTACACGAAGATAAAAAACAATGGTCCCTGCTCTGAACACCATTATGACAACCGGACAAGGAGTAGAGATGATAGCAATGACTCATGAGCAGCTCTAATCGTAGAGGCTTCTGCAGCAAAAATCAAATCATTAATACCGAGTGTTGCATTGCATGAGAAATTGTCTCAAGCATGTGGGTTTTTGAGATTTTTTTTTTTCAATTAGATCTGTATCAAATATAATGGTACTAGAATATTAGATGTTAAGAAATTGTAGTAACATACAATGATACAATTGAGTTGTATTCACAAAACAAAACAATCCTTCTTGAGTCTACACTTTCAAATGAAAAGAATAAAGCCTTTTGTGTTGAAATGGAACCACCTGGGCAACTAGCGAGACGAATGACGAGAACTGGGAAATTCACTCTATCAGCGAATAGAATGAAAAAGAAAAAAGAAAAAACTGTCCAAGTATGCATAAATTCTCTACAATAAATGTAGATACTCTCTGCTACTAACAGGTCAGAGAAACAACTAAAAATATGCAGGACAAGTGCTATGAAATGCAGAAAAAATATGCAGCAATAACATTCTGTTTTTTCAGAAAAATATCCTAACATGCAAAAAGGTCTCCTTAACTGCTAAAGAATGTGTGAAGGTGTTGTTGTCAAAAGCAGGAAAAAAATTGTAGCAATATGATACGCGTGTAATTTCCGTGTGTATGTTTGTGTTTTAAACTACTTTTGGTTGTTTAATATTTCGAAAATTACACACTTTTGGTGTAATAGTTATGTTTGTATATTTGCTGTAATATGTTTAGATTAGGTTTATTCTGAGCTTAAACAGGTTCAAGATCAATCAAATGATCATTGGTGAAGGAAGGTGCAAGGGTACAAGACAAAAAGAAGGCTAAATCATGATTTATGACCTGTACCCGGTCGAGTATACCATGTACTCGATCGGGTACCAACTTGACTTTCAATCAGATCAATCAGGAAACAAATGGGCGTGCAGGGGAAGATTTGGCCACGCTCAGTTGTCATACCCGATCGGGTACACCGACACACCCGATCAGGTATGCCTTTTATTTCCACTCTGAAATCGATCGAGTATGCCACGAATTAACATTTTTACACATACCCGATCGGGTACCCTATGTGTACTCGATCGGGTACCCGAGCTGCACTCCCAAAAAACCTATAAATACACCTTCTTCCCTTCACAATTAGACACCAATTCCTTTACACTTCTAAGCTCAGTTTAGAATAGCATTTCTTTATATTTTTCTAGCATGTTTAGTCTCCAAATGAGGAGCTAAACTCTCACTTCTTGGTGTTGCTCCTGAAGTTTGTTGATTATTAAAGTTGTGAGTTATTTTCTTAACTTCTTTCCTTGAATATTAATTCTTCTTTTAAATACTATTTCTATATCAATGTTGGGGAGTGTTACTAAGATGACAATTAGTTAACATCTTGACATTAGTTATAGTAATAGTTATTTCTTCCTCTTTGTTAATATTGGGGAGTGTTGCTAAGATTACAATTAGTTAACATCTTGATATTAACTATAGTAGGATTTATCTTCTTTAATATTCTTCCTTGAGTATTAATTAATTCCTATTCATATTTCATATTAATATTTTGAACATTACTTAAAGGATCAACTAGTTTTGTTTCATATATTAATTATTACTAGAAACGATCAACGAACCGATGGTTAATCGTTGATGGTTTCACAAGTAAGTAACTTCGGTTTATTAATGCACGGTCATGGTTAATAAACTTAAGAGGGATTAATTTTGTTGGTTAAACCAAAACCGTTGTGTTGAGGTTATCAATCTCAATTGATTTCATCAAGGAGTTAAGAGATTAAAAGCTACTATCAAGTCGGTATATGGCGGTGTTCTATACTTGACTAATAGTAAAGGTTATTAATGAACAGTCGTTGTTAATAACTACCCTCGATGAATTGGATATACTCCTCGATTGAGTATTCGAGAGGGGACAAATTATAGATATAACAATGATCGACTAAAATATATCAACAAGTGGAAAGTCACAATGCCAATTCCTTTTTATTCTTGAATTTAATCTCATATAAGTCGTTCATCTTCGTGTTTAATTTAATTAAATCACTCAATCAAAACTCCTCTTTATTTACTAGTTACATAAAAAGACAATTATTCATTTCTCTGTGGATACGAACTCTACTTCACCTATACTACGTATAAGTGTTAGTATTGAATTTATTTTGACGCACCGTGACAAAGTGCTCGTCACAATAACATTCTGATTTTTGCAGAAAAAATCTGCCTACCATGCAAAAATAAGCTGTCTTAGTCTCCAGATACGGCCTGCGTATCAAATGAAGAAAAAAAATTATAAGATATGCTGTAAAAATTGCTATGACAAAAAGAAAAAATTGCAGCAACAAAATGTTCATTTTTGCACAAAAATATGCCTGAAATGCAAAAAAAAAACGCCCAATATGAAGAAATTGCATGCAATGACACTTGATAGGTAGATTATGTCGCTTCCAGCTTCAATTTTTATGTGGCTATTGATATGCAAATGAAGGGCATGTTTGGCACAACTAGCTGAAAAGATACTTTTGTGAGTTTTTTAATAGCTGTTAGCTTTTAGTGACTGAAAAGATCTTAAAAATAAAAGGTGGTAGCTGTTTGATGAAAAGCTGACTGTTTGATTTAGTTCGGTTTGGTATACAAGCTGTTAGGATTAATTAATACTAAAAGTCACTAGCTTTTCTTAGATGCTACTTCCGGTAGCATCTCAAAAAAGATCTTTTAATTTTTGAAAAGCTCTTAAATATTGTCATGCCAAACACACAACTAGAAGCTTTTAGGAACTTTTTGAACAGTACAAAAGTTAGAAGTCAGGGACTTATGCCCGCCAAACATAGCCGAAGTCTTTCCTATAAAATGTTTTTCAAAACCAAGCACATGAAAGTAAAAAAAAAAATGTTCTTCTAAACTAACGGAATCAGAATAACATATACGAGTACTTCAATTCCTTTTCTCTTGAGAATCTGGAGTGTCTCAAAAGTACTTACAAAAGTGTTGGATCCTCACGCACGCTGTTATCAACTTCAATAATCTTTACCTGACTAAGATCAGAGTTGCATAACAAAGTTCAGAAGTCACAATAGGGCACTTCCAAACTCCATGACAACGCCCCTATTTGAAGAAAGAATAACAGGCATCCAATATTATGTATATATGGGCCATATATACATTAAAATAATACTGTAAGCAAGACTTTTATTTTAGTGTTACACTAAAATAGCTCTTGCTAAGCAAGTTTCACATCAACCAAACTCCTGTTTTTTTGTTACTATTCTCTCTCAAATCTATCTTTTTTGTTGTCTGTAACATGTCTTATTATGCCTTACGGAGTATTATTTAGTTGATTTATATAGTGGCATAGATGTGTTCAAGTAAGCTAGTTAAAATTCACCTAGGCATCTACGAGTTTCTTTAAATACAATTCAATTAATGATTTTGTATTCATTATTGATTTTTATACAAGTTTTGATTAATTGTAAAGTTGATTTTTGATTGATGTATATTACGGAGTATTTAGAAATATGAGTTTTTATTGAAATTCCTTATCACTCTTCTTGGTTTATGAATTTCTTAGCATAGTAATGGAAAGAAGAGAATAAAGTGCAACCGTACAAAGGGAGATGATAACATACAAGGAAGATCAAGACAGAGATCGTAGTGTACATTACTTTCTCTCTGGAAATGATTTCATTGTGAGCACTTTGAACCTGAGGCAGAAAAGAAAGAAAAGCACAAACGAGATGGAGATAGAACTCGAAATATATCTCCCATTTCCTTTCTTAATTCTTAGTAATGAGAAACAAGAAGCTACTAATTTAAAAACAAAATGATATTTTTAAGCATGGAAAAAAAGAAATTTATGAGGTATGCGGTAGAACAAAAGTAGACAAGCAAATAACGTTGAAATATTGTATACCCGTTAATGCAGTACGTAAAGAATGAATATTTTAGAAGTGATAAAATTTGGCAAACGCTTACTTGTCCAAGGATCACTTTTGCAATTTCGTTTTTTAGTAAAGGGAATAGTTGACGTGGAACGAATATCAAATAGGATTATGCCAAATGTTGAATGTACCAAAACATCTTCTGGTACGGAAGAGCTCCCCTTTAATTTAAGCAAAAAAGAAAAGAAAAGGCGCGCGCGAGTTTAACGGTTGAAAACGAAAGAGTTCAGCTTGTATTTCGGTGGCTTCTCACCCGGTTTGTGCTGAATCGGTGACCTCTTTTTTAGGCACACTCCGGCTCTGGCATTTCATCGATCAGTTTCTGCGCAGCTTTTGGAAACGTCGACCAAATGCGGGAGCTGCGCGGATCGGTTTGCAGCTGATTCGGCTGTTCAACAGGGCCCCTCATTAGCTGGTTTTCCTGGCCAGCTTCCGGTGCCCACATCTCCGCCGGTATTCTTCTTTAAACTCCCTGGCCCCGTCCGCACTATTTACAATCTTCTACATTTTCCCATATATTATATTAGAGCGCGTTGATTTGATGCGCTAATACAATTTGATAAAAACAGGACAAAGTTGAACGTTTTAATGGTAATTTTAGGTGGTGGATGACTGGAGCAGAAAAGGAAACAAAAGTTGAACAATTATTTTTTTAAACGTTGGATTTTAAGATGATGGGTCCAACATAAAACTTTTCATGATAGGGTACAAGAACAGTAAAACTGGCGGGTCAAGAAATTCTGAAAGCTTTGTATTTATTGTATAATGTTTGAGCATGGAAGATTAGGGTGCTATCTAAGGCTTCAAGCCTCTTTTTTCATATCGTACGCAGCATAAATACGCTAATTGTGGAAAACTTGAACCGTGGAGTTTTATTGTAACGATTTAATCATGACTAATGTAAATTGCCATTTCATGGAAAAGCTTTGTGATTTGCAATTCATGTTACACCTCATGATGCACATGCAATCAGGTTGAACATGCTTCTTGAAAGAAGAATATGAAATCAGGTTGAATTTGCTAATGCAAACTGCAGGTGTTTGTCCTAGTTTGAAAGAATAATATGCGAATTGAGGTTATTTCTCATAATGGAATGTTGGAATGCATTTACTCAAGGTCTCAAACTAATTACTTTCCAGAAAACGAATAGATATAGAGCTTGTGTGGAATGTGATCAAACTAAGCTTTATATTCTTTACTTTTCACGGAAAGTGGATGACAGGAGTGGATGTAAGAAAGTGGATTCCTATGCGAAGTGGATTGATTACACTTTGACTGCCAAACGCCCCCCAAATGACTCATGCACCTAGGTTGCTACAGTAAAAGAATAATGTCCATGATGAATAGCACAAAACTAGAACTTCAGGGTTGGTTACACTAGAGCCCACATAGAAATGTTAAACAAAGATGTATGGGTTTATAATGTCATGGGGTAGACTAACTAACCATTGGATTCAATATACTAGTGTAGTTTGACCCATGTCAATGATAAAATCTCATTATAAACCAAGTTATGTCTTACTAACTCATGTATAAATTTCAGTGATAAGATAAGGTATCGAACCATTACAAAAGGCATCAGCTAAGTCAGCTAAACCTATGGAACCTCAGTATGACATTGGTAATGGCGTAAAGTCATCGACAACTCAGAAACCCATTGGAGGAACCAATATTCTCTCCTCATGCAAGAAGTTGAGCGGTTCATTCTCCTCTAATTGCTCTTCTCCTGACACTCCACTTGATAGTTCTTTCTCTGAGAGTGATTCTATATATGAATTAACTCCTGAGGAAGATTCTAGCAACTTATTGACCACAGAATCACCATCTACCCAAGTAATGGAGCGTCCTACGGATGAGCCACAAAGGATTCCATCTTCTTTGTCTGGTAAAGGGAGGTTTAGAAAGGAACTGGGATGGAGCATGGGGTCCAATGAATCACTATTCAGTATCCAGCTGGATCATTCAAGTTTTTCTAAAGATCAATTCACGTGGGACTCTGAAGAGCTTTGTCAACATGAAGAAGCTTCTGAGGGCCCCGCTACTGCGGCAAGTTGCTCTCCAGTGAGGCCGTCATCTAGCCATATAACTGAGTTGGCTAGGGGTGGGGGGATAGATGCAGCAGAGGCATCCATGAGAGATTTCTTAAGGGACAGTAAATATCAAAATAATGAAAAATGTTGCGTTGAGGGGCGGACTTCTCGTTACTCTGATGAGAGTGGGGCCAGTGGAAGATCATTTGCATTCCCAATGTAAGTAGGTCCTGCATTAAAAGTTTTCCATCCCATCTCATTGCTCGGTTTTTCTTAATTAATACTCTATATTTATTTCCGATTTAGCTTATTTTATCCCAAACTATCATCAAATTCATAAATCTATTCTATTTTCTCACTTTTGTCAAAAAATAAAAAAAACTCAAACTTCAATTTTTTCAACAATTATGCTTTTTTTTTGTTTTTTTAAAATTACAGATATTAGCAATACCAATAAGACATAAGCAATACAAGTTTGTGAACTTAAACTAGAAAGAAGTGCAAAAATATGACTATGATTTTCTAAAGTTTTACTAATTCATCCATTGAAAGTGTAATTGTGTGATATGAAGTTTGAGTCTTTTTTTTAATAAAAGTGGAAGTATTGGATAAATTTGTAAATTTGATGACATTTGAGGATATATTTAGCTAATATTCCTTCTCTTAACAGTTTTTTTAGCTGATATGAAGTTTGCTCCACTTTTTTTATTTTGTCAAGTTTCACCCTATCAAAATGCACGGATACCTTCACTTTTTCATCTTTCTTTCCTTTTCTGTTAATTTGGAGCAAATATTAACGCACGGATGGAGTAGGACTTTACAGTTTATTTTGATTTAGGAGAATGTGTTAAGAACTTACAACATAGATGTATGTTGTTTTCTCAATAGTGTTGATATAAATCAGTGGCTAAATCAGTTTTTTTTTAAAGATTGTCAGGGGACATGGATAAAAACACTTCGGCAAAGTTAAGGCCAGACAAAAAGCAGCCACCTCAGTCTTTAATACCATCTGAGCAAGAGGGTGAATCGTTGCAGAACCCTCAATCTGAGCAGCAAGTGGCTGTTGCACCCAAACAGTGGTTTTCCTGCTTCTTGTGTTCCTCATTCTGTTCCTAGGAGACTTCTTGGTAATTTGTTGCCTTCAAAGTTAACCTGTTCTTTTTGTGTCAAGATAATTGTTAGGATGGCAGATGAGAAAATACGAGGAAATGATGAGTTGGTAAATAAGACCTTGGATTGAATTAACTAATACGGAGTACTACGTAGATTATATTTTAATCTTTTGGCGTGTTTTGAGTCAAGTGCCTTATGGTCCAGTCCAGTAACCCCAACCAATTCCTTAATTCTAACAATAGTAAATTCAGGGAATTTCTGTCCTCACTGTTTTACCCTTGTTCCCATGGCAGTATACTATATTATGCCTAGAAGAGTTTAATAATATATATATAGTGAAGATGACTTGAGGCATTGTGGCTTTGAAGAAGATCAAAGAGATGGTGTCATGTAAATAGAAATACAATAACATTGCATCCCTGCTTATGTCTAGAGTGCAGCTGATGGCCTTCATCCACAGTTTTTATGAAGAAAGTTTTGAGGATGTCATGCCAGCATTCTCCGGTTTCATACGAGTAGGTGGTTATTTATTAAGTATGACTTATTCGGGAGGATCCATAGCTTACTCTGGAGCTCCCCCCATGTAGGTTATTTTACTATGTAAATTTTACGCTAAATATCCTTTTGGCTTCCCTTGTTGTCGAACAAAATTCCGCTATGATCACTTCTTATTTTGGGAAATGCACTTTAACATCTTCGTGGTATTTAAGCATTACATTCATTATTAAACAATACTCCGTAATTATTATTTGTATCACCTTTGGTAACATTGAAGTTGGATAAATTAGCTGGATATAATGAATATAATTTTTTTTTATATCACTTATGGTTGAAAAAGCTTGATGGACTGAAATATGAAGAAAATTAAATTTAAAATATAAAAATAAAGAAAAAGTTATATAAAAAAACAACTAAATAGCCCTCTTCGAAAAGGGGTCACAAAGAAGTGGAATTTGATTCTTGGGAGCCTTCAATTTTAGGAGGGTTTCTAGGTGTCACTCTTTGTTTGCAGATGTGAAACTCACTCTTTGTATAACATCAGGAGTTTAATCACCACTGTTTGTTAATGACAATATGATTGTATCCAGGGGCGGACCGTAGTACAAACCCTGGCGGCAACCGCCCCCCAACAACAACAAAATTCTAGGGTATATACACGAAAAATAATTTTCGCCTCTCAAAAAATAATTTTCGCCCCCAAAAAATATTTTGAACCCCCAAGACGGATTTCCTGGGTCCGCCTCTGATTGTATCATCGGACATATTTACAACCTGCTGTTTTCAGTCCTTATACTAGCATGCTGTTTTCAATCCTTTTAAATCTTTTTTCAAACTTTTAAATTGTATGATAATTTGCTTTGGGTTGAAAATTGTATTTTGGCATGAAATTTTTAATGTGTGAAATAAGCATCGTATTTGTGAATGTTTTGTACTAGTATAAACTAATTCGCAAGTCAAATGGCCAAAGAAATACGATAAGGCGGATAAGTTGCTACTACCTGTACTGCGTTGATGATGACTTTGTGAGGAGTCGGGCTCCTCTCCAGTACATACGGTACTGGAGAATTCCATTTGATCCATTATAGAGATGCCACATACTCACTTGTTAAATCAAAGGCTTGGATATGATCTAGTGCTGTATTTATCCTCTCTATTGCTTCTAGGACGTACCCATTTGCTAGCTCCTTTACATTATTTTGACTTGTACGAAGTTGGCATTCGGAATACTTAACTAACCTATTTTGATTATTTTTTTTCTCTATTCTATTTGTGATCAACTCAGCTTTAAAAAAAAAAAAAAATTGGTTGAATATATCAGGGAATTTCTGTCCTCACTGTTTTACCCTTGTTCCCATGGCAGTATACTATATTATGCCTAGAAGAACGTAAGTGATGAATAATATCACTTGTGTTCATAAAACTCGGTTGAAATAGAGAATTAAAAGTTGTGGGGTTGAGGATTTGATATTTATATAGAATATAGATATGTTCAAATATCACTATGGAATATGAATAAAGAATTGATTGATCTTAAAGAGATAACTCACATCTTGCAAATCACAAACTTTAGATGTCGTTTGGTTTTTGGCTTATCAGGCTTATCAGCCAACTTTTTCACCACACGTAATTTTTTATTGTGCGCGCTGAATTGTGTAATAAGCAGAAAAAATAAGGTTGGAGTTACTTTTTTTGCTGTATTGGCTGAAATTACTGTAGATGACTATTTTAGCTATTTTTACATATAATTTTTTCTTTATTTTATTAATAAAATATATTTTAAAATAATTTTTTCTTAAATCAGCAGAATCAGCCAATGCAGCCAGTTCAGCCAGAACTTCATAAATTTCAGCAGAATCAGCCAAAACAACCGATTTTGGTGCTACCGAACGGACTCTTAATGTAGCAAAATCAAGTTCGAAAGATTACTTAATTTACATGGATAAACTCTAGATGAAAGAAGGGATGGATGATGGGTATAAAATGAGAAGGAAATGAGTGTAATGAGTTGGTTGGATCTGATACCCGACCGGGTATATCCTCAACAATAGCCACGAAATGCTGAAATCTGGTTACATTGACCGGGTATTTCAATATACCCAACCAGATATAAAGACCAAATTTTATTTCCCCACATTCTCTGATTTTTTTTATCTTGTATGATCTCTTAGTCAAATCATACATGACGGGTACAATACTTGTTCAAAGATAAATACTACTCCCGTCCTGCTAAAATTGTTTCATTTTACCATTTCAGTCCGTCTCACTAAGATTGTCACATACATTATTTGGTAAAGTTTGTGTGGTTCTAAATCATTCTTACTTTATTCTTACTTTATCAATTCAATATCAACCACATAAATCACTTTTTATAGATTTGTGTGTCACTCACTCCCCATCGTTAGTGAAACGGAGGGAGTATCATTGTTTTTAATTGGAATGAACTCAAACCGTGACTTTCACTTTGGAAATTTAACAGCATCATGAGATCTCATTGTACTTTACTTATCTTTGCTTCAAAAAGCACTCCACAATTATAAATTTACAACGCACGAAGTAATGGCACAACATCAAAACTTCTAGATTAAAATAAAGTAACATTTTCAATGAATATTTTCATTTACAACTTCTCTGAACATTTTCAATGAATATTTTCAATTAAGAAAGTTTAATTACACACATTAGTTATTTTGTCATATGATGTCATCACCGTGAACTTTTAAAGAGAAAGTCACAAGTTGGAGTTTCATTGTAGTCAAGAATGTTAACATTTATTTTGAAACAAATATTATAATAAGTTAGATGCATAAAAAAGTTGAATTATACACTTTATTTGCCCCATAAATTAAGTTCACAATTTTGACTTTACCAATTTTTACATAAAATACATTTTTATTGACGGCCCCAGTATACTCTTTCTCAAAAGCATGAAAGAGTAATTAACAATTTAAAAGTAATTACAAAGAGGCAAAAATGTATTTTAAAACTCAAATGCTAGCACAAATAGAAGTAATAACTTGATTATGGCACAAGTGGAAAAAGAAAATAAGAACTTAATTATATTGGGGATATAGTTAACACTCCATCCGTCTGGACTTTGTCAACTTTTCTTTTACACTCCATCCATTTAGACTTTGTTAAACGGTCAAAGCATGTTTCAACAAACTTTGTCACTTTCATTTTAAAACAATGAATTTATGTCTTATTTATTTTTCTTCTTCGGTACAAACTTCAACCAAAAAGTTTTTACTAGTCTATTTTCACACTCAACATCAACTTGACAATGTTAAGTGAGACTAAATTAGTATTAAAACTATCTAATAATGTATGAATGATTTTGAAATACATAAATAAATACTTTCTCCGTCCCGAAAAGGTTGGCCAAATTTCTTTTTTTTTGAATGTTCCAAAAGGTTTGTCATATTCATTTAAAGTAAGGACTATGTGGATAAAGTTAATTCTCTCTCCTCTGCACAAATTTCAACCACACAGTTTTTACTTGGCTAAAGGATCAAATAGGCCCTCGAAATAACTTAAAAAGTGAAATTCACCTCTTATATAGGATGCTCTGTCCGGACATCGTCAATTGGGGCGGTTTACGGTGGATTTTTTTGATGAAATTTTTTTAGCATCTTCTTCATTAAGTCTAGTTTACTCATACCAAACTTCAGCTAAAAATTCAATCGGGAAGGCAATCAAATAAATTTTTGAAGATAACTGCGCAGTTAAACAACGCAGTATATTTCAGAAAATCATTTGACATTCTTCCCGGTTGAATTTTTATCTGAAATTTGGTATGTGTAAACTACACTTAATGAAGTAGATGTTCAAAAAAATTCCGCAGTGAGAACCGCCCCAATTGGCGACGTCCGCACAGAATCTCTTATATAGGGGGTGAATTGTACTTTTTAAGTTAGTTCGAGGATCTATTTAACCATTTAACCGTTTTTACTTTATTAATCTACGCGAAAGTCAACTTTGATCTACCTTTTGCGGAAATCACAAAAAAATAGAAAGAGCGGAAGGGAGGAAGTAATAGTTAAACCAAGAGTTAATTATCAAAATAGGACTAAAAGTCATTCACTTTGCACAAATAGGACCAAAAAATAAACTATGTTTCCATAGGACTAATTATGTTTGTCTTGGACAAATATACCCTTATACCTATTGGAATGTTTTAATTCATAATAAAATAATAAAAAATAATAAAAATTCGTAAAATATACCAAAAAATTAATAAAAATATTTTGAATAATAATAAATTTAAAAAAAAATTAAAAAAAAAAAAAAAATTAAAAAAAAATAAAAAATAAATCAAAAAAATATTTTTTTTTGTCACCGCCGCCTATACCGCCCCAGCACCACCACCTCTAGTCATTTGGGGAAAAATGCCAAATTTATTATGAATTCCATATTTTTGGCATAATTCTGAATGATTTAAGATGGAAGAAAAAAAATGTTGGCATTCTCAAAGAGAAATATGCCATATTTTTGGCATTTTCCGAAAAAAATGGAAGTTTGTAGGAAATATGACATTTCTTTTTAACGGTCGGAGGTGGTGGTGCAGGGAGGCGGTACCACCACCTCCTGTCACCGGGGTAAAAAAATGCCAAAAAAATTATGAATGCCATATTTTTGGCAAAAGTCAAAAGGATTCAAGTTGGCAGAATGAAAATGTTGGCATTCTCATAGAGAAATATGCCATTTTTGTGGAATTTAAAAAAAAGTGGCATTTTTTACACCGATCGGAGGTTGTGGTTCAGGGAGGTAGTACAGGCGGTGGGAAAGGTATCCATATTTTTTTTAATTTTTTTATGGAGTTTTACTATTTTTTATTAATTTTCCAAAAAAAAATTAAAAAAATTAATTTTTTAATTTTTTATTAAAAAAATTAATTTTTTTTTCTTATTTTTTATTTTATAAAAGTTTTATTAATTTTTTTTATTAATTTTCTACGAATTATTGAATTTTTTTGAATTTATTATGAATTAAACATTTAATTATGACTTTTAGCTATCTTTTACTAATATTTAAAGGAGGGGTAAGAATGGAAGAAAGAAATGAGTATGTTTCTAATAGGACCACTATGGTCTTATTTTGGAATAAAAAACATAGCAAGTCCTATTTTGAGTTTTTGCCATAGTTTTAGTCCTATTTGAAGTAATTTCTATTAAACCAATAATACTCCCTAGTTAACCAGTACGCTAATAATGAATCCAAGAAGCAAACAAT